AAATTACCTTGCCAATCAAGAAATCTCTTGAATTAATAAAGAGATTTCGTTTAACAATCGAGAAAATTTCTTGAATTAAAATATATATTTTGCTGAACAATTTGTCAGCACCTTGAAGAAAGAGAATCTGAAAACGTCAAAAAAGGGATAGAAACGTGAAAGACAGGGGTAGAAAAGTGAAAGGTGAAGAAGGAAGGTTAATGGGTATTGGTTTAATTATTTTTTTTAAAAACGGTTATTGATTTAGAATTTGGTCCGATATAGGACTGTTTTCATAAATAAAATTAATTTTAAATACTAAAATCTGAATACATATTATTTTCTAAAATATTGTCATTCTGACATTTTAAATAAATATTTTAATGTGTTGTTATTTTGACTAATTATGTTAGGTATTGTGACTTAATTGCTAATTTTCCCATATTAAAATGGATTGAAATAGAAATCGAGTTGGGTCTTGACCCGCCCAAGTTTACTTTGGGCTCAAATGGGTTGGGTTCAAATGGGCTAAAAAATGGGTTGGTCTTGACCCGCCCAATTTGACCCGATTAATCTCAATAATTTTAATATAGTGATATTTAACTTTTATAATCACAATTTGAATTTCAGCTCAAGAATATTTTTTTAAAAAGTAACAAATTGATAGATAAATCATAATAGACGTTAAATAGATAATAATTCATACCTTTAATATAGGCACATATCTTAGTAAAAAGTTTTAAAACGGGTTGAAATTGGAAATTGAATTGGGCTCAATTGAGGATTCTCTTAAAATGGATTAGGCTGAATGGGTTGAGATTGAACCTAATTTAAATTATCTTGAGCCCAACCCTTAAAATTCTGACGGGTTTATCTATGTTTGGGTTCATTTTTGACACCCCTATAGTAACGTATCACATAAAATATAAAATGTAATATGACATAAACAATATGTCACACGATTTGCGCAGTGGGCAATTAAGGGCCCTGCTAAGTGCTACCAAAAAGAAATCCACATCTTAACTGGGAGGATAATCTGAAAGCGATGCCTTTTTGGTGGACAACCAGATCAAAAAGACATCATTTTAGTCGCTCAACTTGTCAATTTTTGTGATAAAATTGTACAACGCTGAACTCATTAGAATAATATTTAGTTGACTTTGATTTTTCACTCAAGTGGTGGCTGAAATTTGAAATTCGTCAAGATGCACTAGCGGCCACTTGCTAGTCCTAGTCGTAAATATATGTCCCGATAGCCATATATAAAAATATATTATTGCGGGCATCTCAAGCTGAGACCTCATATTCATGGCCATTTTTTTAAGCATTGTCGTCCACCTTCCCCAATTTTTATTTTTATTTTTTCAACACCTTCGTTTTCAATGGATGCTTCATTTTACCACCTATTCATTATTATTGACCTTTCAAAAGCCAACTACTTAAAATAATGTATAAATTATAGGAACCACATATTATAAGTACTAAATAACATCCTATCCCTTCTAGTTTTCTATTTACCAAAAATCCCTTAAAAATGATGTTTGCGGGATACATAGAGTTGTGCACGGGATACATTAGGTTTAATACATCCCACGTAGCGGGATACATAGCGTTGTGCACGGGATACATAGCGTTGTGCACGGGATACATAGGTAAAATAAGGGATTTTTGAAATTTTTGAAATAAGTAGGGATAAATGGATATTAAGGTAAGTAAAGGAGTGTAGTTAAGTAATTTGTCCTAAAATAATCTCCTATATTCATTGTTCCCTCGGTTTCACACGTATCTTGAAAAAACAGGCTGACCTCAACTTAAAACCTAAATAATAGTCTCAGGTTCCAGCCCAAAAATTAGTTTTTGAACTAGCTCCTCATTGGATGCAGCTTCTTTAAAAGAGTTCAGAAATGTTCTTGTTTGATCTTGTTCACTGTTTTATCTTCTTTGCCAGCATTGTAGCGGTTTTTTCGGAATCATTGCCTCAAGATTCTGTTCATCTACTTGGGTTTCGAAGCAATCTTCCAGATCCCTCTCAACAATTGCTCCCTTGGAATCAATCTGTCTCACACTGTAAATGGAAAGGTGTTACCTGCTACTCAGACAAAACTTCACAAGTCAAATCATTGTATTTCAGAGACTTCCTTCTATCTGGAATCTTGGACAAGGCCTTTCCAAATCTTTGCCATCTTCCTCGTTTGGTCTCCCTTGATCTCAGTGGCAACCATCTCACTGGTGGCATCCCTGCTATGCTTGCTAACTGCAGCCAACTTGACACGATTTTCCTCAACGACAACAGGTTTTCAGGATCCATCCCACCAGAGATTTTCAAATCCAAAAGGCTTGTATACCTTGAGTTGGGTTACAATCAGCTCAATGGCACCATTCCTTCTGAGGTGGGCCTTTCGACAAGCCTTCAATATCTTGGGCTGTGGAACAATTTCCTTAGTGGAAATGTTCCAAAAGAGCTATTTGGTTTGCCAAACTTGACAGATCTCTACATCCACACAAATAATCTAACGGGACCTCTCCCGGACTTCCCATCCTCATGCTCACTTTCCCAGCTTCTTATTCATCAGAATCGCTTCTCAGGTTCTTTGCCAATTTCCCTAGGTAATTGTCACAACCTTTCTGCATTCTATGCAACATCTGCTCATCTTGGAGGAGTTATTTCCCCAGAGGTTTTTAGGGGCCTTTCAAATCTCGAATTACTCTCTTTAGATGACAACAACTTTGAAGGGGAAATTCCTGAGACCTTATGGAATGGAAAATTACAAGAGTTGGTTCTTTCCATAAATAATTTTAATGGAAGTATATCAGAAAAGATTGGTGGTTGCCATCAGATGACTTACATTGATTTGTCAGCTAACAAATTAAGTGGTCAGATTCCCAAGTCAGTTGGACGTCTGAAGAATTTGTACAAGCTTCTTCTGTATGATAACATGTTTAGTGGTTCATTGCCAGCAGAAGTTGGGAACTGCACTTCTCTTGCTGAGATAAGTCTTGTCAGTAACTTCATCAGTGGGGAAATTCCTTCAGAAATTTGCAGCCTTCAAAACCTAGAAACATTTAATGCATTCAAAAATAAAATTCAGGGCCAAATTCCAGAATGCATTGGAAGAATAAGCGGGCTGCAGGAGCTAGCTCTTTATGAGAACCGATTGACCGGCAAGTTACCGCTTGGAATTACAAATATGACGAAACTTTCATTTCTGTCGTTGGCTCATAATAACCTTACGGGGGAGGTACCACCTGATCTTGGAAAAGATAATTTTCCTGGCTTAGTTAAGGTTGATTTAGGTTATAATAACTTCAGTGGACAGATTCCTTCTAAACTGTGTAATGGCAACAGGCTTGCAGTCCTGGCTCTTGAAAACAACAGGTTTAATGGCAGCTTCCCAACCTATCTAGCAAACTGCAAATCTCTCTATAGGGTAAAACTTCCCAACAACAATCTGCAGGGGAGTATTCCAGACGACATTGAAAAGAATGAGAATATTTCTTACTTGGATGTTAGACAGAATATGCTTGTAGGAAGGATTCCAGCTGCATTTGGTTACTGGACCAATCTTTCAATGATTGATCTTTCAGAAAATATGTTTAATGGCTCCATACCCACAGAACTTGGAAAACTTCAGAATCTTGTAAAACTGAGCATTTCTTCAAACAGACTGACCGGACAAATTCCCTTTCAGTTGAGTAACTCTGAAAAACTGGAGGAGTTGGATCTCAGCAACAACAGTCTTTCAGGAAGAATTCCTAAAGAAATTGCATCATCTTCAGTATTGACAAATCTTCTACTCCAGGACAACAAACTTTCTGGTGCTCTTCCAAGCACTTTCTCCTCCTCACAAATGCTTGTAAAGCTGCAGCTGGGAAACAACTTGCTCGAAGGCCCAATTCCATGCAGTCTGAGTAAGCTTATGCAACCTGGTTTTTCACTAAATCTGAGCATGAATAAGTTTACTGGTGAAATTCCTAGGTGCCTAGGCAATCTTGACAAATTGGAGGTCCTTGATATATCAAGCAACAACCTGTCTGGTGCAATACCATCAGAAATGGAAAAGATGAGTTCCCTTTCGTTTCTCAACATATCATTTAATAGCTTGTCAGGGAAGGTACCCAATACATGGGAAAAACTATTAAGTTCACGTCCAGGATCTGCCTTGGGAAATCCAGGACTTTGCTTAATAGACACGGAAGGTAGCAACTGCAAGCATGTGAAAAAATCACAAGTAAAATGGAAGACTTTGGCTGGTGTAATTAGTGGATGTGTGCTTTCCATGGCAATCACAGTTGCTGCAATGTACTTACTAGTGACTCGGATTTGGCACCCATCCCTGCTGAATAAGCATCGGCTCGTCAAGTGTCAATCAGGAATTGAAGATCTACCTGATGGTATAACTTTTGAGGACATTGTACATGCAACAGAAGGCTGGAGTGAAAACTATGTTATTGGAAGAGGCACGCATGGAACTGTTTATAAGATGGAATCTGCCAAATCCAATAAACTTTGGGCTGTCAAGAAGGTAGACTTAGCTCAGAGAGCATTCAATGATGAAATGAGAAGCCTAAATTCTGTCAGACACCGCAATTTGGTAAGATTGGGAGGATATTGCATGAAACATGGATATGGCTTCATTCTAACAGAATTTATACCTGGAGGGACTCTTCATGATGTCCTTCACCAGAGAAAACCACCTGTAGTCTTGGACTGGAAGTCCCGCCATCGTATTGCTCTTGGTATTGCTCAAGGTCTATCATACCTTCACCACGATTCAGTGCCTCAAATCATTCACAGAGATCTCAAATCAGATAATGTAATGCTGGATTCCGAGATGGTGCCAAAGATTGGCGATTTCGGGATTGCTAAAATGGTATCAGATGAAGAAAATTCAACGAACTCCAATATTGTTGGGACTCTAGGATACATTGCTCCAGGTTAGCCACACGTTACTATGCTAATTTTCAGTATAATTCAGTTGGCAGATTACTTTGATGAACTAATAACTTTTACTACTTTCTTCCCTGGCCCCCTTTCTCTTTTTGTCACTCCATCTATTCAGAGAACGCATACTCAGTTCAACTGACAGAGAAAAGTGATGTCTATAGCTACGGAATTCTTCTTTTAGAGCTTTTCTGCAGAAAAATGCCAGTAGATCCCAGCTTTGAAGAAGGATTAGACATTGTTTTCTGGGTGAGGAAAAACTTGCAGAGAAGCAACAATTTCCTTAGTTTTCTTGATGAAGAAATTAGGCTCTGGAATGTAGAAGAACAATGGAAGGCCCTGAAACTAGTGGATTTGGCGCTTCAATGTGCTCAACTCGAGGCAAGCACCAGGCCTGCAATGAGGGATGTAGTAAGGTCTCTTGTCGAGTTATGAAGAGAGGAATGCAAGATGATTTGAAGGCAGGTGCAGTTCAATCCAGAAGATCAAGAGCTCCTGCATTTCTCTTCTTTATTTTTGGCGTAAAGAACAGTTAGTTGATGATGTTGAATCATTACTAGACTCTATGGCCTCTTTGTAAGTTTTGTTTGAGGCTGTATCTGTAGATATGATATACCAGGTCTTTATTAGGGTGCTGATGAATATAATATGTTACCAAATTCAAAAAGAGAATAGATGTAAAGATAAGTAATGAAACTTTTAGTAGTGAAACCTGTGATCAACTTTCCAAATTCCAACATCTCATTTTTTTCTTTTTTTGCTTACATCAAAAAATTGGACAAAGAAAATACATGATGTTTCAGTTTAACAAAATCGTGATCTTGGGTTTTTCAGTTTAACTTTGTGACATCCAATGTAGCAACATAGACTAAGAAAATGCATGATGTTTCAAATCAATTTTTGGTAAAAGCAATTTTCACCTTCTAGCCATAGCTCTTTTCATCATGGATCACTGTCCGTAATCAGTTTTTGCTTATTACTTTCTCCAGCTTCTCCAAAATCTGAACAGTTTTCAGGTATCACAATTAAAATGAGAGTGTGAAGGAACAAGGCTTTGCTACAAGCTAGTCCTTATCTTATGGACTATAACATTCCGGATTATAAAAGAAATCAAAAGAACAACCCCCACCCAAAAAGATAAGCTTTTGTTGAATTTGGTCGTACTAATGATGGTTCCTGCGAAAGAGTGCAGAAGACCTCCGCCTTACCGGTCTTTCTTTGTGTTCCAAACTTGCAGTAGCAGAATTATTTGCAGAAAATATAGATATGATGAATAGAAATGGCTTGTGGACAATCATTGTATTTCAAACAAATACAGATATTCAAATAAGGTAGATATAACTCAGATATGAGTTACCAACAGGACTTCTAACAAGACTTAACAGACGAATGGCAAATACATAGGAATATCAGATCAGGAGAGTAAAATAATAGTCCTTGAAGAATTGATCAGAATTCAGTAGAAAGGAAATATGAAAGAAGTGCAAGAATAAACTGGAAGAAATACTCTGCAGGTGACAAATAGATGAAAGACATACCTCAGTTACGAAAACTGCAACACCCGAGCACAATACGATGCGCACCTAAATCATCCAAGTAGGAGAAGCCCAACTTAAATGTCCCAGATTCCTTTTTCGTATTTTTTATGTAGTTGACTTGGATGTGCATTACAAGACAACTGTCACAAGATTTTGAGAATTTTTCATGTTAAAATATCCACCAGAATTTGCATTGGATATATTCACATGGCACCACATATGCTGACAAATCTCAGACTTCTAATAATAGAGATTCCATTCTGAGACAGATCCACTAAATTCCCAAGTTTCTGCTCTTAGCAAGTGCAGCACCATCACATATGATGATAAGTCTAGGACCTCTAGTAATAAAGCTTCCCTTCTGAGCCAAATCCACTAAATTCCCAAGCTTCTGCTCTTAGCAAGTGCACTTTTGTGCAAGACGATTAGAGACAAACTCCAGGAATTTGGTGCTTGCTCTAATACCAAAGTTACAAGCAGCTCAAAAGAGAAAATATAAAACACTAAACCACATTAAAGAAAAGCTAGGAAGCTAAAACCAAAATTGAAGAAGAAAAAGTTCCACACTGTTTCTCTTAACAGAACAGGTGAAATTTCTCATAAAGAGCTGATCATATTCTATATCCAATCACTTTACTGAAGTTAGAGTACAGATAAATGTTTGAAAACCCTAGTGTCCAAAGATAGGGACAATAGAAATATGAAGCTGTAAAATGCTCCAAAAAAAAATAATTAAATTACTGAGAGGATTTCCAAAATAGCCTCGAGGTAAAATATTTATACAAGGTTAAACTTGTCTGCTTCCTCAGTCCAATAAAGCAGAGTTCAGGAGTTTTACTTTGAAGAGACCGAACAAATTTAGAGAACTACTCCATTACTGGCTATGTAACCTATGGCTAACTAGATTAAATTAGAAGCTCAATGTGCATAGACGTGGTGTTCTTGGGTTATACTTAAGACCAGCTAACTTGAAGAAGAATTCATTAGTATACATGGTTACGGACTGAGGCACAGTGCAACAGGATAATATTTTCAACTTAAGTAAGAAATTACCATTAGAAAGATAGGATGTCCTTGATCACATCATACAGAATTAGATACCTAATGGAGCTTGCATGTCTGCTTAATTAACACTAAACAATGTTAACTATTGCATATCCTCGCCACTTGAATATTTTCATGCAACATATTTTTGTCATTTGGATGTATATATGTTGAATGAAATTAAGGAACCTAAAAGTCAGTTCACCAGACAATCTATAATCAGTTATGTACCACATCTTTTTACCTAATACATTTTTTGTCAATCAACACCACTATTTATACCCTATACTACATATCAAAGGGACAAGATGAAGTTTGCAAGGATCAATGCCTAGTTTATACTCAGCATACAAATAAAGCTCATATAAGATACAAAACCAACTAAACCTCTTTTCATCTCCCAAATATAGTTTGAGCAATAAAATAGAGAGATGGAAAAGTATTATTTGATCGCGAAATTATGAACCAGAATAGATTGTGGCAGCAACACCAGACCTCAGTCACAGTCATACTAAGTCATCTACTTTGTTGTTTTTCACATACTTTTCTGCTTCAATTTTAATCAAAAGCAGAATGCTGATAGCCTGATATGCATTCAACTACAGATGTATGGATCCTTTTTTTTTTTTGATGACAAGGGAAACCCGCAGGTGCGCACAGGGTAAAACTCTCGCTCCTATGCAATAGCTCGCAAACCACATAGGAGAGGTAACCCGTGGGTGCGCACAGGGTAAAACTCTCGCTCTTATGCAATAGCTCGCAAACCACATAAGAGAGATAACCCGCACTAGGCAAGGCTGGTGCGACGAGCTCGACCCAGAGACAAACCCCTTGCTTTCGCTGGCAAGGGGTTTCGAACTTGAGACCTCCAACATGGAAGTGCCAAGCCCAAACCACTGGGCCACCCCGAAAGGTCAGATGTATGGATCCTTTTCACCTAGATATTCAACATCAAGGCATCTCAGAATTCTCAAAATCAATTTACTCCTGGCAACTTCTAATTTTGAAATCCCTAAGATCATAAAGGGGCTGTGCCCAAGCATTAGAAAACTAGCATTGCCTTCGAAGGTCAAATTATCGATTTAATCAATGGTACAGAGGGCTTTTAGAAGCGGAGAAATTGGGAACAGCATTGTACCTGTTAATTGTTGATGGAGTCATCGGAATCAAAAGTAACTCAAATTAACGAAGACAAATAAATAAAAATCTCATTTCTCAACTCAAACTAAATTGGATGGGCATAAATTTGTGGAACCCATTAAGCTTTTTTCTCCAACTTGCTTGTGGATAGTGAGGACGGAAAAAAAAATCAAGTAAATGATGCATTTATATCATTTAATTTTGAGTGCACGTAAACATACCCTTAAACTTATAGAAAGTTGAATAAATAAATTTACAAGTTTACGTGGCATTCTATATGACGACATCATCCTATGTAGTATCCTAAGGGCCCGTTTGGCCATGGTATATGAAATCATTATATAGTATCATGGTATGAAATCATGAGATGAAATTGAAGTTTTGTTTGAACATGCGATATGAAATTTTTGTGTTGTATATTTTCTCATAAACATAAAAATCTCATAAGTTGTAAAACTATTAAAATAGTCTCAATTGTTTATTCAATCTTATCAAATAAACAAAAATTTATAAAATCGCATAATAAATTATTACAAAGCTATTTGTTCTTCACTTAAGTAATTGTTTCATCTAACTTTAATTTAATTAAAAAAATTGAACATAAATTGTACTTGATATGCTCATATCTCTCAACTACTCTTACAAATAACCTATAAAGTAGAAAAAAAACATACATTAGTGAGTAAATATTAACTTAGAAGTTAAATACACTAAGATAAAAATTAACAAACATCACTGACTTCTAACTATTTACAAGAAAAATCAATAGTTAAATATTATTGAATAACGAAATTTTAAAAAGTTACCACAAGTTTGAGTCAAAAACACTTCTAATAAAATTTAATCAAAAAAATTATAACTAGTCCACTTGACTAAATATTAATAACTAATTGATCAAATTTTTCCAAGTCCTCAATCAATTGGACTTGATATTCTTCAGTCATGTGAACGAACATTTTGCGAATACTAAGATTAAGAAAGTGCGGCACCGCCAATGAAAATTGTCTTTTATCAATATTATGCTTAGTCATAAGATTAAGACGTTTTTTTTTAATTATGAAAAATCAAAAAAGTTTTACTCCCTTCGTTCTTATTTATATTCACCAAATGAATTTCTACTTTATCATTTATATTCACCAAATTTAAAGTAATAATAAATTTTATATTGGTGAGAATAATAAATTTTAAAAAGTAATGATGTGATTATAAATTTTATTTACATATGAAACAAATGGTTAGTAGATATAAATGTGGGATTGTTTTAACAAAATATAAACTCATGGATCAATTATTGTATTAAAATATCTCAAATCATGATATGGAATCACATGGTGATTCCATATCATGGTTTTTGAAGAATATGGTATCACCTCTCATGATATGGAATCATGAGATGGAATCAGCGTAAAATCGCATGTCCAAACGCTAATTCCATCTCACGATACCATATCGTGATATGGTATCGCATGGCCAAACGCCTACTAAGTATATTATGCTATAGGACGCATTTGTCCACTTGTGCACACTCAGAATTCAAAGACGTAAATATAAAATGATAGTAAGTTAAATGACACATTTATTTATTCAACAATAATCTTAGAGTGGTATCGTATTTAGTTTCATTTACTTTCTCTTGAAATGGAGTCTGGCATACAATGTTATGTGTGGCAAGATATGTCACTTAAACTTTAAAGGTAAATTCTGATAGGTGATAGTTAGATCAATTATATATCATATCAGGTGAAGTATTGGTGAATTAAAAACTTATCTTAATATAGGCTTCGAGACAAGCAATCAGATGTTAATTTTCAGCTTATGAACTCATTGTTTTGATATTAATTTTTATACGGAAAAGGCTAAAAAATACCCCAAAACTATCGAAAATAGCTTAGATTTACCCTTAAATTATATTCTGGCTCAAAATTACCCTTCCCGTCAAAGTATTGGGTCATACTTACCCTTCTAATTAACAGAAGTATGTTAAGTGTCATGTACGCCACATGGACGCCACATAAGCGCCAAACATTTCCCACTTCCACATAGACTAATAAGATCCCTAATATCTATTTTTCCCCTCATTTCTCTTAAGATACGATTTCACCCAGTCCCCCTCATTTTCGCGGCTAGAGTAATAAACGATTTCACAGATTTCTTCATTTCGCGATTGGATTTCGAAGTTGATTTCACAACATTAGCTGAGGATGTTGCGTGGAAGTTTGTGAAAGAGAAAACTTTCGATATGGTTACAATAAACCCAGCGATGGTTATAGGCAGTTTATTGCAAGTTGCAACCAACACTTAATACAAGTGATGTTATCATCTTACAATTGCTAAATGGTATGCTTTATCTTAAAGCAACTAATTTGTCTTTGATCTCGTCATCTGAATTGAAGAAATCTATGAAATCGTTTCTTATTCTAACTGCGAAAATGAGGAGAAATGGGTGAAATCGTATCTTAAGAGAAATGAGGGGAAAATTATAATATTAGGGATCTTATTAGTCTACGTGGAAGTGGAAAATATTTGGCGTCCATGTGGCACTTAACATACTTCTGTTAATTAGAAAGGTAAGTATGACCCAATACTTTGACGGGAAGGGTAATTTTGAACCAGAATATAGTTTAAGGAAAAATCTGAGCTATTTCCGATAGTTTAGGGGTATTTTTAAGCCTTTTCCGATTTTTATATTTCATGTAACATCGATCCCTTTTGATTGCTACAAGTGAAATTTCATTTTATTGGTGATGGCGTAAGGTGACTTTATAAAATAATGTGCAAGTAAAAGGGTTAATTTGAGTACAAAACCAAAGAAAAAACATATAGGCTTAAGTCATCTACGGCCTCTTAAAGCTGTCCGCATATTTCACTTAGACACCTCAATTAAGGCTGGTACCTATTGAACACCTTACATGTTCAAAAATGATTCCTGTTAAACACAAAAGGCTGACATGGCAAAAAGGGTGTACTTCACCCTCTTTAAGCGCATAAAGGAATTTGAAAGTATATTTTTTCTTTTTCTTGTCTAACTTATACACCTAATTAATAAATAATGATAATAATTAATTAATTAATTAAAAAAAGACAGGAACATTTTGTCTTCTCCGGTTCGCCCCCATCTTCCTGCAACTATTCATCATTCTTTACACACACGCCCCACCCCCTCCACCTTTCTCTCTCACTTCTCCAATTCTTTTCTGCTTTTTCCTTCTTCTTTTTCAAATAATCCGGCGAAGCTCCATTATTTCCGTTGAAAAAAATATTTCAGCGAGGTTGATTATTTTTTTCCGACAAAAGTTTTTTTTCTTCTTGTAAGTGTGATAAATGATTACTAGTGGAAAGAAGATGAAGACAATGGGTGAAAGGTTTTAACGCTATTAGAATGAAAGGTGAATGAGGAGTTAACTTAGATAGGGATCAATGGTATATTATCGGCGCCGGTGAAAGGAATAAGATTCGAGAAAGGGGTGATTTACAGGCGGTTAAAGCGCAACAGCTCGATAGAAAGGAAAGCAAGACCCGGCGGAGAAGAAGGAGGGTA